GCAGAAGCAGGCCCAATTAATAATGTACCCCGAAGCGGGAAAGTCGCGCGCGCGCGCAGAAAACAGGTAGCTGCTGCAACTACCCATGCACGCGCCTTCGAGGAATTTCGACCAAATAAAATATCGGCGCCGTTTCGTTTTTTGGCTACGCCAAATTTCGTCCTCCCGCTCTCAGAATTACGACTATTGACTTTATTATTTATTGACTTGCATACGCTTTATCAATCGAGTGGAAAATTGAGAATTTTCTGATGGAATGTTATTGTTTCTAGCTATCAATAGCGCCTCCACGAGACAATGTAACAGAGTGCAGAAATCAGTCATTCAATTATTTATCGCACGATGATTATTTCCTTTTTTACAACGCGTGTAATTCTAAAGAAATTCAATTGTCATATGAAATTCGAAAAAAATGGCAACACGCGTGTATCGCGTATCGCGTATCACAACCGCGAGTAGTGCACGCGCAAAGGAAAAAATTTGCTTAGATTATACCTGCGTGGAAGATGAGCCGAGCGTTTCCGAGAACTTAGAGATCGCCATGGCAGAAGCGATCGGATGACGGCGCCTTGGTTCATCCGTCAATGCCTCGATACGCCATTAACAATGCTCGGTTTGATAGCGAGACGCGCAAGCCACGCAGCTTCTGAATGCGGCGCTGCGCCGGGAATGCACTCGTAAATTAGTAACCCGTCCACTATTTCGATGAGCGAACCCCGGGGAACCCCGGGGAACCCCGGGGAACCCCGGGGAACCCCGGGGGACTCGACTCGAAAATGTCAAAATTGGACAACGAGAGCTGGATACCTGCCTTGAAATGCCCGAAAAGCTACAAGCACGCGTGTGCCATTAAAAATTACCTGCAAATCGGAATGTTTGAACTTTAATAATATGATTGAGCGTCCGACACGTGTAATTACGAGCAAGACGAGTAACAGACGCAAAAACGGCAGATTAAAACAAAGAGTTCCATCGCGTGCTTCGCTCTCCTTTTCTGCCAAACGATTTCTCGCACTCTGACTCGCGCGCGAGCGACCGAGCGATTTGCACAAATTACTTTTGTCTCAAGGGGGCGAAATGTTAAAGTTGCAAACTCCGCAGCTTGGCTTTTTATATTTCTTAGTCTCGCGCGCGTCTTTTTTTCCACTGGAATCTCGGATATTATCGAGCCGCCTCTGCGATTTTAATGACCGCGCGGTGGAAGATCTCGCTGCAACGGACGAGTTTTAAGCAAAATGACAGCTTCTTTTTAGGTCCAAAACTGCTTTATACCGTGCTAAAAAAACTTTAATCTTATTGCATTAAGTACAGCCTTCATTTGGCAACACCAGTTCTTAAAATATTTTATGATTAACTTTCCACTAATGGAAAAAGTTTAAATAAAATAAACATATGTAATTACCGATTCATTTCAAAATAAAAAAATCAACTACTAGTAAAGTATTCTAAATTTGTTATTAATGAATTAAAATGTCAATTTGTTTAATTGGTAAATAAATTGACATTTGTTAAGAAAGTAATTGTTTGAAACAGTATTAAAAATCTAAAAAATCATGCATTTATTTACCTTTATTTATCATTATCAACAGTTTTTTTCACTTTTCGCGATTGCTAACAACGTATTTTTTCTTATCACCACAGGATTTTAATATCCTTTGACCTTAGTTTTTAATAATCAGTTAAAACGTTAGATTTGTTAGTTCTCAGATTCTTTAACTATTGAATGTGGATCTTTAATTAGAGCACTATGAAATTCTACATTTTTGTTGCATCCTCAATATTGTTCGCATACGTAATTATCTAATTTTATTAAGAATGATATTATAACCGATTCCATTTAAGTCATAGACTTTTTTTGTCAGTTTGAAAGCTTAATTATAAATTGATATGCTCATTAATTTAGAGGGTTTTCGCCGACTGGAAAGATTACATGGTAGACCAGTATATTTCTAAAGTAGAAGATGACATAGCCGGCGAAAAATATTTTTTGCAGATAATTAAATTTTAATTAATTATTAAGAGTAAAATATAAGACATAGAAAGATATTCATCAATTATTATCCACGATTGTAAAATATTGCTCACTCTTATAAAACCCCACAATCTTCTTAAATTAATAATCTAATTATGATTTGGAAATTGGAAAAATGGCAGAACATTGGCGTAGAATGTAACATCAGGCAAAACAATCAAGTCAAAAATGTCATGAATGTTTATCGTACAAAAATTCATAACTGCATAGACACAGTGATGTTACCCCACATGGCGCCAGGGAGCGTTGCATTCGTGAGCAATATATTGCGAGTCGAAAAGGTAAAAATATTACTGAAGAAACAACGTATAGATAAATGTATAAAAACATTAAAACATTTCATATTCCTACCGATGCGAAAACAGCCCGACACAAATAACATTTTATTACAAAAAATGATCACATCTCACGTATGCCTAATTGTACTTCTCGAAAATATAATTATTTGTTATTGTACCATTATATTTCTCATAAAAAATAAAAAATATCGTTATCGATAATTCACCTCCTATTTATTCACATAAAAGACATAATTAAGCAAAAATAAATACACAGAAAAATTGTACCTTCTATAGTTTAAATTGTACCATCAGTACAATTCTATAAATTTGATTCTAAAAGAAATAATAGGACAATTACAAAGCTCTACACCTGCGCAAAGTGCATTTCCGGATGACATCCTTGTAAGTTGTAACAATTAGTGGTAATTTGTAATTGTCCTATTATTTCTTTTAGAAACAAATTTATAGAATTGTACTGATGGTACAATTTAGACTACAGAAGGTACAATTTTTCTGTGAATTTATTTTTGCTTAATTATGTCTTTTATGTGAATAAATAGGAGGTGAAGTATCGATAACGATATTTTTTATTTTTTATGAGAAATATAATGGTACAATAACAAATAATTATATTTTCGAGAAGTACAATTAGGCATACGTGAGATGTGATCATTTTTTGTAATAAAATGTTATATGTGTCGGGCTGTTTTCGCATCGGTCATATTCCTTCTTTATCAATATATAGTATGACATCTTTAGTCTGCATAATGTCTGTTGATAGTTTATCTTCGAAATATAAATTGATTATTTTCAAAATTGAAAGAATGTCATAAATTGTAAAATATTCATCTTATGCTAATGCTTATAATCTGTTACGTTTTGCTTTACTTCTTTTTTTCTTTGTTTTTTATGGATTACATTTTCAGAGTAACAATTATCGTGATATAATTAAGTACACCATTAAATCTAATTGAATTTTAATTAATCTATTAATATTATTTCTTCTTTTATTGTGATAGATGTATTATTAATTAACTATTATGATTTTATTTTTATTAACAACAAAATTTTAATTTCGAATAACTTATTACAAATAAAGAAAAGTATAGTTTATAAAAATTATAACAGAAAATCATATCCTATTTAATTTGATTTTGACAATTGTGGTAAATAAGATGGATTGTGAAAAGATTTAAATTCGACTTGATAAAACAGTTATTTATTACGTGAAATTATAAATTTATAAAAAATCTATTAAACGTTTTATTCAGTAGACTATTTTTAAATATTCAAGAAGATATTTTTATCGCTTTCCTCACAAGTTAATAATGTGGCTTTACTTATCAGTACTGTAATTGCTGTATCTTTTGATCTCTGTTTCAAGTGATAAATATATAAGGTATGTGGAATATTAACATCAATTCTAATGTACTCGTATGTAATGGGGGAAGTAGAAAGTTTCTGAATATATAATTCGAATTAAAAAAAATTATACGATTATCAAAAAGGAAATAACGGGATAATCAATTAGAAAATAAGAGTCACGTATAATAAAGTGAAAATTGTCTAATTAATTATGGAACATTTCATTATCACAAATCTTTTCCAGATTTTGCTCTTATTAATATTGAAGTTTTGTTTATCTGGTATCCTTTTACGTTAATCCGTAGATCTGATAAATAGAATAAATTAGACAGTTATCCAATCGTCTTGAGCAGTGCTATCGCAGTCTTTTACCAGTCACCGTGAATTCCCCATCGCGGCACAATGAAAAATTCTAATTTTTTGTTTCGTCTGAGCTTCCTCGTTTACGTAAGTTATGTGTGAATTGCGATTTATTTTGTCATATCATAAATAATTTACTGAAATTTCTCATCAACTTGAGAAAATCATGGATGCTTATCTTATAAAAATTGAGTATTGTGTAATTTCTACTTCTGACCGAGTTTTTGTCAACAGTTGAACTAATAATCAACAATTCCTCGTAGCTAAACACGTTGAAAATATTGCTGAAGAAACTATAGAATGCATTAATAGTGAAATTGAACGGTTCAGTCTAAAGATTCATTGAATCATTTGATATTACGTTTCATTGATGGATAATTTGGTATACATCATGGCAAAAAGAAATATTGCTACTGATTTTATTACAATGGAGTTATGTATTACTGTAGTTTTATCAATATATTGATAAAACCGCAGCATAAATTTTAAATATGAAGCTGGGAAGGGGTATAGGAAATACCGTGTTACGTAATGCCTTTGGATGATAAATATCGCGGTCAACAAGAAAGTAAGATTATCTATTACGTAACATAGAGAGCTGAAATTGATGTTTCAGCTGCCACATGAAAGATTGAAGAAACGGAAAAATTTCCGACTAACTTGATTGTGAAAAACGAAAAAACGATTGCATTGCATTGTAAACTATTAAAACTTTAAAGATAATTGTGAAGAATCGTGTACCTATTCCGTTAGCAATATACTTACAATATAATATTCTGCTACACTGAATAACTTACAATAATGCTTGCATTCTCTCGTTGCATGCAGCGGCTTCGCGGAAAGTGCCCAAGCCATAATATATAGAGCGATGACCATGCGTGCAGTAGTTTTAAGCGAGCGATTTTCTCGTTACATGCAATTGGATCAATCGCAGTGTCGGCAGTATTCTCGCAACTTTCGACGTGCAATGAACTACATTACAAACGCAATAATGATTAAAGCTTTCCTTTTCATTCTAATCATATTCTATACCCACGTGAGTTGAGTTTTCTGACTTTGTAAAAATATACCGAACTTTCATCAGCAATTAATTAGCTCGTAATAATTATAGAGTACTTTGGCAGATTGGAGCCAAAGCTTTGTGGAAGAGCGCATTATAAATCATGAATCAGATCAAAATGAAAATCGTTATAAACTAATGGTAAGTTTAGCGATAATGAATTTCTCAAAATCACGTTATACCTCTAAAGATTGTGTATTTCCTCGTAATGGCTTGATTTTTTAATAGTACATATTAATTTGATAAAACTTATAAAGTCAATCAAATATTTTGCAAAACAAATGTTTGCCATAGAAAATAATTTTCCACGGTAAAATGTAATATTGAATTCAGGTAAAAGCAGTTGGAGATACGGTGAAAAATTCGAAATCGTTTTGTATTCTTACGGGGCTTAGCCGACTGAAAGCATTAAAAGATCCGTACCGTCAAAAAATTGAAAAATGCGTGGAAGAAGCCGGTGAACCATCAGCTGCTATTGATTGCAGCGATCAAGAAGAATCCGCTGTTAAAGATATAATGGAAGATATTGTTTTGGAAGCCACCACTTGTGTAAAACAATCAGAGTAATGTTTTCGTCAAACAATAAATAAATTTAATGGTTACATAGACGCTTTGTTCGTACACGATTGGTCAATAACACAATTCTGCTAATTCCTCCTCCGTTGGTCTGTCCCTTGATCATTCTAAATACAATGAATGAGGTACAGGAACGGCAGCGCGCGCACGCTCGCAAATGCGATAAGCTACACGTCAGTCTCTCAGAAAAAGGCGGACGCCGCCGCCAAAGTGTCTTTCGCAATCTTTAATAAAGTTATCGTCTGCACGAATCTCTAACATCTCTTTGATCGATCTCGGCTTTCTCCTCTTCGCGCCGTACCGAGTGACATCCAAAATATTTCTGACGATTATGACTGTCCATTTCATATTGTTTGTTAAGAGGCTTTCCTTTTGCTATTATTGTTGTATAGTCACACAGCTTAAACAGGCGATAATAGCTTCGTAAAGGTATAATGATCATATGATTGCGCATTGAAATTTCAATGAGGAATAATTCACTTATCATTTATACGTACTCTGAAAATATGCGACATCTCCGCTTTACACGGACAAATAAATAATGAACATACATCATAACAAAATCGAATAGCCAGAAAACGCAGTACCAAAGAAGAATTTCGCGGTGCCAGTCAGTGTGAGAAACAGCTTCTCCCCGCGCCCGAAAAAAAAGAGAGAGAGAGAGAGAGAGAGAGAGAGAGAGAGAGAGAGAGAGAGAGAAGAAAAAAAAGAAAAATCGAGGGAGTGAGAGGCAGCGAGCGGTTCGATGAAAGATAGCCGCTTGCGAGGTGTCGGTGCTCTGACAGCGGCACGTTGCGGGCGTCATTACACGATGACTTGCTGCGCGCCCGAACGAACGAGTCCGCTGCGATGCACGAAATTCAGTCCTGTTGCTTCTTATCGCGCCGAACGATTTTTTAATTGAACTTGGCGCTTCTCGCGCGCGCGCGCGCGCGTGCCTTCGTACTCTAATGGAATAAACGTAGATCGAGGTCGAGAGGAGCATTACTGATGCGGCCATCAATCGGACCTCCGTTCTTGGGGGTCTCTTAAACTTCTCGGCCAAATGCAGACTGTGCTTCATTCGAATTAGGACTTGTGTCGCTGAAAATATGCACGCAAAAATATGTGTTTCGCGCGCGTCCTGCTGAGTTTAAACTTTATCTACTGCTTCTCCGATTTGGGATTTCTTTTTTCCATGTCGAGAAACGAACTTCATATTTATTCGGCAAAGTAGATGTCATAAATTTGCTGAAGATCCGTGTAATAAATGCGCTATAACTCACGAGTTTAATAACCCTCATGGTTTGAGCAAGTTTTTCGACGTTCACATCGACAGTAACGCTCCGTGCAACTGGAAAAGGATAAAAATTGAAAAGCACCATTATACACTGGCAACGGAATCATCTGGCTCTAAACTTTCTAATGTATTGGCGGCGCGTTGCGGAGATCGATCGGCGAGCAGATACGTGGGTATAGTCGATCGCGCATCGCGGGGGGGCATTTCTTATATTTCCCCGACAGGTGACTCGCTCGCTCTCCAAGTTATAAGAGAACGGGTTCAACGGCGATGACTAGAGCGTTTTCTGTCGGGTCGATCCTGGGAGAGCCCGTACTTCTAGACTGTTGGTCGGCACGATCGAAATGCGGTGAATGCTTCTCTCTCTCTCTCTCTCTCTCTCTCTCTCTCTCTCTCTCTCTCTCTCTCTCTCTTATTATTATTAGAACCCTCCGACGTCTCATTCGATGAAATATCGTCGTGGTATTTTAATGCTGCTAATTATACGTGTTTTTATGATTTTAAGAAATTATTACTTCTGATTTTTGAATATTCGATTGGAAATTTCATGTGAGCTTTCACTATGATCTTCGTGCTTTGCCGTCCAAAAGATACGATGTTTATTTCAGCTTGACTCCTAAAATTTCCAGTGCCGTAAGGCTTGCGCGAAAAAGAAAACACAATAACGAGCAACGGAAACATTATTACAGTCGTCAGTTTATCTTACCCAGTCATTATACCTAATTGGTAAAATCTCACATGCAGTGCAACACTTTTGTACAAGCTTCGAAATCATTTTATAACCGTTACATACATACTTTTGAAGAAACGAAAAAAAAATCACATAATACTTTTAAATCTCTCCAAAGATTGATAATATTAACTTTTAGATGGATGCAAATGTCTTCGTTTGACATTCATCTTTAACAAAAGCAGGGGTCATCGTATACGTATGGTTCAACGGATCACAGATGAAGAAAACAGAAAATGATGCTAATAGGCTTATTATTTTATTCTTTACAAACTTATAAAATAAAATGAATAATATAAACAATAATTATTATAATTATGCTTTAAATTTTATGAAATAGTTCTTGGGTTCTAAGTTTCATGTTCAAACTACTTGGAACAGACTAGATAAAAACCCCTTGAAAATTCCAAATCATATGAGATTTTTTAATGTACGATTGGAATACAAATGAGTTCTTCTACAGATAAATAATACAAATACAGCGAGGAGACCTACACTGAACATGAATAGCTGTATGTTTAAAGATGAGTTTCTTTCAGAATATCATAAAGGAGATTAATTTGCTTGGTATGATGTCGATTCGTACAGAAGTATCTGGCAAATGAGTTCTATATTCAAAGCGCCAAAGGTATATCTTGTTATAAGAAGAATAGAATTTATTGAATTATTAAAAAATTATTTGACGTTACATTTACAGTTACAATAAAAACGTCATTATCTACCTAAGCTGATTGTTTTAATTATTTATATCTCGGATTGATAAGAATATTTGATCGGGCGTGTATTTTTTCGATGAACGTATTAATGTGGTGTTGATAATTCACGAATTTATGGTAGCTCCAGTATATGCGTACATGCATACGTCTCAAAAGAATCTAAAAAAAATAACCAAAGGATTAGTGAATTAGGAAAAATTTTTGCGCATAGTTGAAATCCTTTTCTTCTTCGATTTGTTGGCTTTTGAAAGCTTGATAAACTCGTTTCATTCTTTAACAAAGTATAAAATAAATAAAAGAAAAAAACATGTATATACGGCGAATGTGATAGCTGCCTAGTCATCGGCTACCTGGCGAACGCACACGCACATATAGCTGCTTGGTGTGAAGGTGCGAAAATACTCGCAAGCCAATTAAGGCGCCTCATTACATCGCTGAGAAAAATTGCAATCCTGCTTCAGATGAGACGTGATCGAGTCAAACGAGAGAGCGAGAGAAAATCCTTACTTACGGTATCTGACCTTTCAATTTGATTGCTACTTCTCGCTCGCTTTGAAATTATGATTTTTTGCTGCCCCTAGTGAAGCAATGTTCATTTAAGCTTGTCTCTCGGAAAAAAAGTGTCCTACATTTCACTTTTTTTGTTCTGAAAATGACATTAAACGAAAAATCTATCCAGCCTCCGTAAAGACAATTATTTACCTCCCTCGACGAAACACCTCGTCCGCAAAGTTATTAGCTTGGCATCGGGAAGAGCGGCGGCGCGGCTATTAACTTGTCAAGCCGCGGCGGCGGCAAACGACTGAAAAAAGAAAATTTAAGATATTAATAAATGTAAAACAAGCATGCGGCTAAGGCAAAAGAGAGAGCTGAAGTAAAGTACCTAGTCGGTGGCGGCGCATAACAAACTAGCGCAAGTGGGTGGGGCCTGAAGGCAAAAGGGAGCCAACGCTTTGCCCCGAGGGGAAGAAGGAAGGAGGGCTACTAATTAATTACTGTGATTAATCAGAAAAGTTCGTAATTAGAAAGTTTCGCGCGCTCGTACTAGGCTGAAAATTAAAATGGCGGCTGCTGCTGAGTGACGAGGGAAAAGAGCTCGCCTGCCTCTTTGCTTGAACTTCTTGCTGCCCCTCTCTCTCTCTCTCTTTCTCTCTGTGTTCTTTTTTCTTTTTTCCTTACCTTGGGACAGCATCTTTCTTTTAATTTTTTCATAGTGTTTTTCTCCTTTGCACTTGATGGAAGTTAATTTTCGTCGTGTACGCCGTTTTCTTCCGCCTTTGGTAGATAACATTAAGGAAAAGGCTTACAAAAGCACAATGCAACATATTTGGGGAATGTAAAATTCCATTTTAGATCCTTTTACATTTTGCTAGGTAATTGTCGATAAAATCTTCGAGTTTTTTAAAGTTTGAACAATAAAATCCCCACTTTTTTGTGCTTTGAAGTCGAGTGCACAGCTGACCTCTTTACTATTCCTCCAACTTCGCAAGTTTTTATCGTCCAATCATAATTCGATGAGCTGCTCGATATTCCATCCGCATAAATACTCCAATTCATTAGCTAAATTACTCCCTTGCCTATTTCATTAAATTAATTCTCCTTCTTCGCTCTTCAAGTTTCGTTCGTTCCTCGAAGAAAACAAAGAAGAAAAAAGAAGAAAAAAAAGAAGAAAGGGTCAATGCAGCCTTACCTGATAAACTCATTAATTAAAGTAGATTAAGCGTCTCTTGCGAAAGCTTCTGAAAGTTCCAACTTTCCACGTTTACTGAGAAGATGCTTCGTGAAAATGGCTGCTTTCCTTCATTTCACCCGAATCCTAAGACAATTATAAAGATCATTAAATTTATATTGGAGAATTAAAAGCTTATCAAAGACGTTGTACTAGTTATTGCTTATAAAAAACTATTTTCACTGTACTCGCATAAAATTTTTCTTTACAGCAAGGAAAATACTAAAAGTTAGAGCTCTTTAGTGAATGATATTCACTTGAACCTTGAAAAACATTATAATAATATTCTACAAACCATACACTACATGCAAATTTCAAAAAGCCTAACCGTATAAACATCAAAATAATAATTCTTCCACTCGAAAAAAATCACACCTATTTCGTGGAGTTTCGTGCATGTCAAAGGCCAAAAAAAGAAACGCACACACAGAAATCATGCACACCTCGGGGGCGCAGGAAAGAAAAAAGAATCATGGCATGCACTTTGGCGCATAAACACCTCTAGCTGGCAGGCAAACTAATATATAATATATACATAAGCGA